ATGGGATGGTAATGGGGAAAGGGGGGTGCCTCGTTACCGCTTATTATCATTATTACCGATCAAAAAGCTTTTCAGGAAAATAGTCCTTTGTTTCGCTTTCTACATCTACAATTAATGCGTTTCTTGTACGTAACGAGGTGGTTGACTCTGCTGGTGGACTATTAGTCCCCGGTGTTGGTCATAGCCTTATCGCTGGAATTCTATATAGGTTTCCTGGAAAGAAGGATAAAACAAATCATTTTGCTACAGAAAAACCACTCTGTAAATACACCTCGTTACGTACAAGATACGCATTAATTGTAGATGTAGAAAGCGAAACAAAGTAAACACTCACTGCACCATATGACCATGTTTTCTCCCACCCTTCACAGGTGTGTCTCCAGGTTTAGAAAGATCAGCTTTATTCTTACCCTGGACTAATAGAACCGTTCACCCCCTTGGGGGTGAGACAGGGTAATCTCAACCCGAGGGGTAAGATTCTTAAGTTCTTAAGCTTAATAATCATATCCTGAGGGTTGAGATCACCCTGTCTCACTCCCAAGGGGGTGAATGATTATTTTTCTCTTACCATTTTTACCCCTCTATGTATTTTATATAGACGTTACATCAATGCAAGACAATGTTGATGTGATGCGGCTGAATTGTCGACGTGACGTCATTGTATTGTTGCCGTGACGTCATGGTATTGTTGCTATGACGTCATACAATTGTTTAGAACGTGCCAAGAACACGTGTAGTTTGTCTCAACCCTAGGGTGAGATAAGAAAATCTCACACCAGTAAAATGGTGGATATCCCTGTCCAGGGTAAGAGAAAGGTGTATCCGCACTTTTACCGGTGTGAGATTTCCTAGTCTCACCCTAGGTTGAGACGGGGGGATTCCCCTATTCATAACAATGGAATGACGTCACTTCAACAACGTCAACCCTGAATTTAGCACGCAACGTTATCATTACATTGTGTATATGATACACATTGGGAGAACAGGGAAAGAGAAAAAGAATCGTTCACTCCCTTGTAGGTAAGATAGGGGAATCTCAACCCTCGGGGAAAGATTCTTAAGTTGCCAAACACTTGGCAAAGACTCGTGTTTGACGTCATCAAAAGTGAATGACGATAATCATACCTCACATGTGTTTTTGTTGACACTACTGTCGTTTGAGTTGTGACTGAAATAATTGGATGGGAGGAAAATAATCATCCCCTACCTAAAGGGTATAACAGAGAAATCTACAACCCTCAGGGTGATTTTTTTGGTTGTCTAACCTTCGGCAGTGCCTCGGGTAAGAGATTTCTCTGTCAAACCCTAAGGGTAGGGAAGGATTCTATTAATCCACATGAGATTCATCAGCAGTAAATAAGGTCAAAATTTCATATCGTTTAAACTTTACAACTCGCCTGTTTTATTTCCATTATTTTTTAAAGATATAGTCGCCTACCTGTAAAATTCTACTGTTAGGCAGTTTCTGTGTTCTTTATTTTTTCTCCCATTTCACCTGTGCATGTCTTATAGAACGTGAATAAGTTTGTATTGGTATACAGAAATCTTGCGATTACTTTTACGAACTATTTAATTGACCAGTCTAGGTGTATAAATTACTTTCCAATAGTTCTACTTACCTTCCGTTTTATGACTACTTTTCTTGCTCACAACGTCTTTTTTATGATATCATTTGGTACGGAAACTCTACATATTAAAATAACGGGCGTGAAGTCGATGATCCTGACATTTAAAACACGCATTTACTTTGCTTCATTTCACAATTAAAGCGATAAATTTCTCAATGAAGTTCCACATTTAAGTTTCAATTCCATTAAAATATTTAAAATCGTGGTCTAGTTCCATCAGCCTCCCATAGGATAGTTTTATTATGCTCTTACGATTCCATTACCAAGCAATTGACATAGGGATGATTCAGGCCGCAACTCTACCTGCACTGAAACATTTCAATTGGATTGACTGAAAGACTGATGGTCGTTCATTTGTTTCAGCTTTGGGGTGTCGTTTTTACACGAACGACATTGAAACGTCTTATCAAAAACTACGCCAATTGAAATACACTGGAATTAGACAATTATTTGGCATTTAAGGTGGCAAGAGAGGTTATTTTTAAATATACTTAATTACTGATAAAAGGATTCTATATTTACCCGAATGGAATGTACCATGAAAGATTAGGCATATTAGGCAGTCATATCGATCTATTGCAACGAATACAACGTTTTTCACTCAGGGACATTATCTGTTATAATTCATGGGAGCAACATACATCTTTGTATTATACTTATTTTACAACAGTTTTGAAACATGTTGGTTCATTTATCATAATAAGTTTTATTAGCCCTGATGGAATAGCGTATGGAGTCTTAATGTGTAGAAAATCAGAGTACCAGGAAAAACCCCTTATGCGCTGGCAGGTGATCAAATACCTTTTTCACGTCTGATCGTTGATAACTGTACCTTGTGTGTAATGCATCAAAACAATTTCATATCTAATGTTGGATTCTTTCCCGGAAATATGGAGCAAATATGAATCATCCACTTATCTAAATCAGTCAACAGTTAAAGCGTCCTGGCCTTTTCTTTACAAATTTTACAAGATATGTGAAGCAATGAAGCTCCTTAAGTACGGCTATCGATGCTGGAACCAAAACAAAATCAGCATTTCTTTGTTGAGGGGCCGCGGTGGCAAAGTAGTTAAGTTGTCAAACAGTCTGCTACCACTAGCCCTCCACTACTGGGTCGTGGGTTCGATACCTCCATGTACGTGGGACAGTCGCCAGGTACTGGCCGTTGGTCGGTGGGTTTTCTCCGGGAACTCCGGCTTTCCTCCACCATCAACACCTTAT